ACTTTTAAATAGTTAATTTGATATTAACATTGATATATATATTTTTTAAATTTTATGATATCTTTAAATTTATATTTTATTCAAAATTAAAATCATTAATGCTTTCTTAAAAACACATAAAATCGTATTATAACATCGACAAAGATAAATAATAAAATATAACATTAAAACCGAGATGTGTTTCGTTGCATTGCGCGACTACTCTTCTAGTGTATTATAATAATAGTAGAAAGGTACTCGTGCAATGCACAAGACACATCTCGATTTCGATGTCACATTTTATTTTTTATGTCAATATAAGACGGTTTTATGTGATTTTGAGAATGTGATAATATTTTTATTTTTGAATAAAATATCATAAAATTTTTAAAAACTATATCGATCTTAGTATCAAATTAACGATTTAAAAGTTCTTGTTTTATGTAATGTCTTTAATTTAAATCTTTTATCATAATTTTATTTAACGTAACGAAGTAATTTAATTTATGCTTAATAATATAATTTTTTTAAAGATAATAATTAAATATTCTTTTACTAACTATATGGTTATCTTAATTATATTTTAGATTTTCTATATTTGAAATGAATATTTACCATGTATTTGATTATGTTTATCTGCAGTTAGTTACACGAATTTAAAAATATAGTTTTAATAAGTTGTATTTATGCAAAATTACTTGTAATATTGAATTTTAAGCAATATGCATCAATAATAGCACTTCATACATAAAAAATGGTTTTTAAGAATTATTATCAAATGCTTTATAATATAGTATAAATAAAAATAGCAAAATTTAATTCCCCAATTGTCATCAAAGGTAAAATTATCGTAAATTTAAATAAAAATGAAAATATATATAGTAATTATAATTTTTTTTAAATTATGTTTATTTTGAGAATACAATTTTGTGTTTTAAACGACTAAAGCAGTCATACCAAATATCCGAGTATCCCCATCGTATTAATCACCATTTTTTTTCTTCATGAAGATTCTGTGGGTAAAACCCTTCGCCTATAAATCTCTCGTCTCTCCCTCAGTTTAATCATACGCAACCATGGCGGTCTCTCAACGATCTACAGTTTCGATCGTATTTTTCTATCTTATCATCTCTCTATTTCTTTCAGTTTTGTTTATTAGATTTCTAACAATTTGACTTTTGATTTGTAGAATGTTGTTGCGACTTTGTTGTTGATTGGATTGATCAATTTATCTGTAACTGTATGTCGAAGGCATGTGTCATACGAATCTGGTATAACCTATTCTGCGATCAACTGCCGAAAGCATACTGCGTTTTTGACAGATTTCGGTGGCAAGGGTGACGGAGTAACATCAAACACGGCGGCTTTCCGAGCGGCCGTTCACAGTCTCAGTCAGTTTGCGAACGACGGGGGAGCACAGCTTGTTGTTCCGCCGGGAAAATGGCTCACTGGTAGCTTTAACCTCACCAGTCATTTCACCCTTTACATCCAATCCGGTGCTGTTATTCTTGCCTCTCAGGTATTAATTAATGGTTGTATGCATGATACAATATTACAATCTTCAAATGCATCTTCGATCTTGCAAAATACCTAATATTTTGGGGTAAAATATAATGTTCTTAATCAGAAATGATTTTGAGCTCAGGATGAGAGTGATTATCCCCTTGTTGATTCACTGCCTTCATATGGTAGAGGAAGAGACGGACCTGGAGGAAGGTTTAGCAGTCTAATAGGTGGATGTTACCTCACTGATGTTGTTATTACAGGTATATTAATTTGATCATGAAGGTTAAATGTTCTATAAAGTAATAAACTTATATTTGCTGTTGGAAGTTTCGATCATGATTAAGTTATAAACGGAATTCATACAAAAAATCTGGGATTCACTATTGTTTTTGTAAATGATGTGATTTAATTTTGCTGTTATGGTAAGGTGGTAATGGCACGATCGACGGCCAAGGTTCAGTATGGTGGAAAAAGTTTCACAGCAAGAAATTGAAGAACACAAGACCCTACTTGATCGAGCTAATGTACTCCACCCAAATCCAAATTTCCAACCTCACTTTGATTGATTCACCTTCGTGGTTTGTTCATCCAGTCTACAGCAGGTCCGTTCATCAATAGCGATCCATTGATCATATTTTGTTAATTTGTTTTAGATCCGTTAAACACCAAGTCTAATTCTAGTGTCAAATTGCAATTGCAGCGATATAATTCTTCAGGATCTAACCATTCGTGCACCCGTAGATTCTCCTAATACTGATGGCATCGATCCAGGTTTGAATTCGATAGTCCTTTCCGGTTGCAATTTCGTCTTATCTACGCATTAAAGTGTTAAGCAGCGAATAATAAATGTTCTTTTTGCAGATTCTTGTAAAAATGTAAAAATTCAGGATGTTTTCATCGTGTCTGGAGACGATTGTGTAGCAGTCAAGAGTGGATGGGATGAATACGGGATCAAATTCGGTATGCCATCGGAACAAATGATCATAAGAAGGCTAACTTGTATTTCCCCGGATAGTGCAGTGATCGCACTTGGAAGCGAAATGTCGGGTGGCATAAAAAACATTAGAGCTGAAGATATCAGGGCCATCAATTCAGAATCCGGGATCAGAATTAAAACCGCTCCCGGAAGGGGAGCTTATGTTACAGACATCTTCGTGGACGGAATGAATCTGCACACGATGAAGTACGTTTTTTGGACCACCGGGTCCTACGGGCAACACCCGGATCCAGGTTATGATCCCAAGGCACTCCCACAAGTCGACCGGATCAATTATAGAAATGTGGTGGCCGACAATGTAACAATGGCTGGAAATATGGGTGGGATCGAAGAAGATCCATTCAAAGGATTTTGTATCTCAAATGTTACTATAGGGTTGTCCCAAAACCCGAAAAAACTGCAATGGAATTGTACAGATATATCCGGCGTCGCAAGTAATGTGACCCCGGAACCGTGCCATCTTTTGACGGATGAAGGCTTGACCAACTGCGAGTATCCATCGGACCCGGTCCCAACGGATAAGGTGTGGTTGAAGACTTGTTTTTTGAGTTCTACCACCCAAATCTTGTAATTTTTCTCTTGTAGTTTGAAAATTATAATGTTAAAACATTTGGACAGTTTGAATGTGTGTTTTCAAGATAATTATAATAATATTTAAGAGATGAAAATATCTAAAAACAAAATTTTTAACTCTAAGGGTGCGTTTGGTTTGCAGAAATGTTTCTGAGGGATTTGGATTTGGAGGGATTTGGATTGGATTGGATTGGATTTAAAATCCATTCCTGTGTTTGGTTTGCAGGATTTGGATTGGATTTGAAATCCATTCCTTTATGAATCATGTTTGGTTTGTAGGATTTGGATTGTGATAACATGGTGGGAATGAAAAAACATACACAGAAAGTTGCATCCTATGTCGATTTGAACAGAAGCCAAAACATACACAAAAGGGATTTGAACAGAAAGTTGCATTCTATTCGATCCACTGTTATATAAACAGTTTCAAACTACTGTCATATAAAGGAGTCTATTTTAAATCTACTGTTATATAAATCATTCAAAGACGGGGAAAAGGGATTTGAACAGAAGCCAAAACATGCTACTGGGTTTTTAACAGAAGCAAAACAGAAGCCAAGACATATAGAAAAGGGGAAAAGGGATTTCAGTACTGTTATTGGCAAGCAATATTCCATCTTTAACAGAAGCCAAAACATTCAAGAAAAGGGGAAAAAGGATTTACCGGCGGGTTAGGGCGGCAGCTTCACAAGGGGACGGGAAGGGAGCACCGGCGAGGATGACCGATTAGGGCTGAAGCTTCGCGATGGACGGGAAGGGAGCACCGGCGAGGAGGAGGGTGAGGGGACAGGGAGGGAAGGAAGCGGGAGGAAGCGATTAGGAATCTCGTAGGATTGGATTTCCAAATCCCACCCCTTTGCAAAGGATTTCCAAATTCCCATATTCAAGGGATTTTAATGAAATCCCGGGATTTCAAATCCTGATAATGTGGCAAACCAAACACAGGATTGGAATGGATTTTAAATCCAAATCCCCCCAATTCCAATCCATTTCTGCAAACCAAACGCACCATAACAATTGTTATTTTATTCAAAAGATTCTTTTGATTATTTATATTATTAAAATGTTTAATATATGAATATTCTAATAAAATTCAAAAAATTGTATGTTTATTTCTGGGCCATCAAAAAATAATTGAGTGCCAACCTTTCAAACCATTAACTATTAAGGTTAAAGTTGGGTTATACATACTTCAACTTCAACCCAACCTAACTCTTCACCGCTAATTTATAAGACGTCCAATAATATATATTATATAAAGAGTAAATTACAATTTTGATCGTGTGGTTGTCATACCATCAAGTTTGGTCAATATTTTAAACTAATTATAATTTTGGTTATTGTGATTGTCATTTTATTTCAATTTTGATAAACGTTTTCATGTTTAGGCCATCTCACTAACGATTGGTTAATAATGGCATTAAGTGGACGGCATTTTAATCTTTTAATGTTTTTATATTTTATTTTTACAAAAAAAAGTAAAGAAAGTTAATATTTTAATGTAATATTATATAGAGAGAGAGATGAACGATCAAATGCAAACCACTCCAATTTGTATAAACTGTGCAAACCACCTTCATCCGTCAATTTCATTGTTTAATCTTATGAAATTTTTTCATGAAATTGTTTAATCTTGTGAAATTGTTTCATATAATACTTTTTTGATGAAGTTGTTTCATATATGGTTATGAAATTGTTTCAT